TGTTATGATGCATGTAACATCGCCTTTGATACCCGTATCAAATACATCATCATCCCCTAACCGTTTCTTGTTTCATTTTAGCCGGTATCAAACACGAGCGTATACTTCTTTTTCCCGGGACACTCACCCATGTATTTAATCGCCATTTTCTGCTCGGGGTTGGCGAGATATATGAATTCAAGGGTACTGCCTACATCATGCACACAGACAACCGGTTACCGTGCACGTGTTCACGTCGCCTCACAACAAGGCCCGTCAGGAATGTATTCAATATTTTGTACGACATCGCAGTAAAGATGCCTCGCTAGGCTAGAAACCCGGGAGCGCAATATGTCATAAAGGATTTCTTTTATAAAAAGTGTTAACTTAGCAGCATTTTTATAAACTAAAAACAGGCGTTCAAATTGCAAAATAACTCAAATTTCGAATCAAACAAAAGTTAGCCCCGTCCCACCCCACCCCCAACCCGATAACAATTTCTAAATGTAAAACAGTTTTGTTTGTTTCAATAAGGGGCAGTATATTATTTCATATTCCGTCAGAACATCTCCGTGGTCAAGTGCATAGAGAGTCTGCCTGGAGAGAAGGTCGGACGTTCATGCCAAAAGTCGTTAAAAGATGGAACTTGTTGTTACTTCTCCCCCTGCCCCTCGGTATTAAGGGAATAAAATAAGGACTGGTCGGCTCTGAGTCGGTATATTGGGTTTGAATAAAGTGTCGTCAGTGTTAAACTGCGGTAAGGTATCTCAGTGAGTCAGCACCCATAAGCAGACACACACACGCACGCACGCACGCACGCACGCACGCACACGTGCATGCACTTCGCTATATAAATGCAATTATCTTGAACTCGATATATAAACCACATTTAACCTCACCTCAAATTTCGTCAAATGACTGCATTTTCTGCACCTAAACAATGCAACCTGTTTTACGCGAATGTATATATCAATCCTCAGTACACGGCTCTTCTTTGTGTGATCGTCTCTTTTTAAAAATCATTCCCATTGGTTGTGATTAACATAACACTATTACAGAAAATTATTCCAGATCTTTAACGTGAAACGCCGCATAGCTTTTTGGATGATTATTAATCGTAGAAGGCCGCGAAGTGTATTGAAGTTAAAGAAAATAAAATATTTTGAGTTGATAATAATTAATTAATTAATTTAGTTACAGTATATACTGTTGGCCATGTACGCCATAAGCAATGCAGGCAGCAGAATGAGTCATCGCTCCATTGTTACCGAGGCACACGTTCATAGCTGTTCTAACTTCATAGTGGCACTCAAAAACAAACCAGGGTCCACAAACGCAAAGTTTTCTTAGCGATAAGGGTGAGTGAGTGAGTTGGCTTCAACGCGGCTTTGAACAGTATTCCAGTTATATCACGGCGTGTCTGCTTAATGTGGGAGGAAAGCCCGAAGTGATGCAGGTCTCAGGTGTTGATGAAATGCTGACAAACCTAGAAACATTATCGAGGCGAACCGGGTTAGCGACAACTCCTTTACAAAAAAAATAACTTTTAATATTCGTAGAACTAAATCTCTTTATGTAATTGGGCTCTTTAATGTATTTACCATGATAGATTTATGGAAAGAAAGTAAGATTTGATGTTCCTCTTGCATTAAAATTGTTGCAAGCGAGGTAAATAACGTGGACATTATCAAAGAGCGTTTGTGCCTGTCGGAGATGTAAGGACAATCCAACTATCAGATCTTCTCACAATGTTGTTATGTGTTTTTACGTTATATATACTACTCAACTCTAGATAGGGATAATCCGATATGTCCTTCTACTTAAATACTAGCATACATTTTCTTATACAAGACATTAAATTTACCCCTTTCAAAGTTTGAGTAGTATACACCGACACAACCAATCGTAAACGTGATTATGACGTCAGACTCGCTGCTTGATGCATGTTATTGTATCCCAATTGAGGAGATCGATGTTTATGATGCCAATCACTGGATTGTCCAGTCCAGACTCGGTTATTTACAGATCGCTGTCATAAAGCTGGAATATATTGGGTTAAACAACAATCAACATATTATACTAGACCCCGCTTCGTAAACCGATCGTCGCGCTACGACGATCGAACTCCCATACATTATCACAGACGAACGACAATTGTAGCGATACGATCACTTTGGGAAACGGGGACCTTATTTGAACACTGAATAAAGAAGTACGGACATGTAATATATTTTTTCAAAACTGTTTCCATCCCTATTTAAACCGAGCTGGGCATTTTACAACGGAGAAAGCGTCGTTTACCTCACCATCGCCCATTCACTTCATATCATGTATACACTACTTGACCACAGGTCCACACTTGACCACAGGCTAAGGTTGGGCGAGATTAAGGGCTACCACAGTAAGGTCGCTATGGGTTACCAGTCATTGCATGGAGATGTTGCCATAACAACCAAAACATCACCCGTGGCAGAACGTAGTGTTGTGGCTAGGATATAACTGATTGTGTGTGGTTGATATAACATTATCTACGAAATACCTGTGGTGTGTGATTGATATAACATAATCTACAACAGACCTGTGATGTGTGATTGATATAATATCTACGACACACCTGTGGTGTGTGATTGATATAACATAATATACGACAGACATGTGATGTGTGATTGATATAATATCTACGACACACCTGTGGTGTGTGATTGATATAACATAATCTACGTCAAACCTGTGGTGTGTGATTGATATAACATAATCTACGTCAGACCTGTGGTGTGTGATTGATATAACATAATATACGACAGACCTGTGGTGTGTAATTGATATAACATCTAAGACAGACCTGTGGTGTGTAATTGATATAACATAATCTACGACACACCTGTGGTGTGTGATTGATATAACATAATATACGACAGACCTGTGATGTGTGATTGATATAACATAATCTACGACAGATCTGTGGTGTGTGATTGATATAACATAATCTACGACAGACCTGTGGTGTGAAATTGATATAACATCTAAGACAGTCCCGTGGTGGGTGATTGATATAACAGAATCTACGACAGACCTGTGGTGTGATTGATATAACAGAATCTACGACAGACCTGTGGTACGGATGGATATAACATAATCTACGACAGACCCCTGGTGTGTGATTGACATAACATCTACGACAGTTCAATGGTGTGTGATTGATATAACATCTAAGACAGACCTGTGGTCTGTGATTGGTATAACATAATCTACGACATGTGGTGTGTGATTGATATAACATAATCTACGACAGACCTGTGGTACGTAAATGATATAACATCGTCGGCAGATCGATCGTGTGTGATTTATATAACATAATCTAAGACAGGCCAATTGTGTGTGATTGATATAACATAATACAAGACCGACCAAATGTGTGTGATTGATATAACATAATCTACAATAGACCTGTGGCGTGTGATAGATATAACATAATCTACGACAGTTCAATGGTGTCTAATTGATGTAACAGTAACATGATCTAAGGCAGTTCAATGGTGTGTGATTGATATAACCTATGCTAAGACAGACCAATGTGTGTGACTGATGTAGCATAATCTAAGACAGATCAATGGTGTGTGATTGCTTTTATATCATCTAAGACAGATCAATGTGTGTGACTGATGTAGCATAATCTAGACAGATCAATGGTGTGTGATTGCTTTTATATCATCTAAGACTGACCAATGTGTGTGACTGATGTAGCATAATCCAAGACAGATCAATGGTGTGTGATTGCTTTTATATCATCTAAGACATATCAATGTGTGTGACTGATGTAGCATAATCTAAGACAGATCAATGGTGTGTGATTGCTTTTATATCATCTAAGACATATCAATGTGTGTGACTGATGTAGCATAATCTAAGACAGATCAATGGTGTGTGATTGCTTTTATATCATCTAAGACAGACCAATGTGTGTGACTGATACAACATAATCATCACAAATAAAGGCACGCTACCGTAATAGTATCTACATAATATTTATAATGCTTTAATCATTTAGCAAAACGTTTTAATTTTAAGAAATTCTGTAAAGTTTCAAATAAAGTGCGTGTTTATTTTGTGAACGTCCGCGCATCTCACTTGCACATCGTTGATCCATCGTCACCATATGTACACTGTGCTGGTCTTTGATGACGGAATCTATTTTAAAAAACGGAAATATTCAAGCTTTCTCTTTTTCCGGCAAAATTAGCCTCAATTATCTGTGGTGTCAATTTAGCATTGAACTTGTGTCTCCCCGAGTGGTAGGTTTGCAGCATCAGACTTGGAGGAGGGAAATCTTCAATCTAGTTGGGCCTTACACGGAAATATCTCCTAACAATGAATTATCGGCGACTGGCGACATCCCCCGGACGCCCCCCGTCGGCCATGTTGTGTGTCCCGCGAGGTCCGCACGTGCCAGGGCCGTGTGCTGATTAGGTGAGGCAGACGACTGGAGTTATTGGAAAAGATTAGGACTAGAAAGCGACAGTAGGAGCAGATCCTCGTGTCTCCCCGATCATCCAGCGGAGAGACTGCTATTGTTGGCGACTTTTTAGACGAACTCAGCAGAGACAGTTAAGGTCTGTGCAAAGCACTCGACTTCATTTAGACTTGACTGCATGGGTGATGCGTTTATCAAACAGAGAAACTTAATCATAACTTTATGCATTGGGCAAGTACTGGTCGAACGAAGGCATTGGAGCTAAGGGGAGGTAACTAGATACGTGTAGTTGCCTTACCGTAAAGCAATGCCATGGGTTGAAGTTGGGTGTTCGAGATGGCGTTATATGGGTGGAAGTCGGGTGTTCGAGATGGCGTTAGATGGGTGGAAGTCGGGTGTTCGAGATGACGCTAGATGGGTGGAAGGCGGATGTTCAAGATGGCGCCAGATGGGTGGTAATCGGGTGTTCGAGATGGCGCCAGATGGGTGGAAGGCGGGTGTTCGAGATGGCGTTAGATGGGTGGGAGTCGGGTGTTCGAGATGACGCTAGATGGTTGGCAGGCGGATGTTCGAGATGGCGCCAGATGGGTGGAAGTCGGATGTTCGAGATGGCGCCAGATGGGTGGAAGGAGGATGTTCGAGATGGCGCCAGATGGGTCGAAGTCGGGTGTTCGAGATGGCGTTATATGGGTGGGAGTCGGGTGTTCGAGATGACGCCAGATGGGTGGAAGGCGGATGTTCGAGATGGCGCCAGATGGGTGGAAGTCGGGTGTTCGAGATGGCGCCAGATGGGTGGAAGTCGGGTGTTCGAGATGGCGCCAGATGGGTGGAAGTCGGGTGTTCGAGATTGCGCCAGATGGGTGGAAGGAGGATGTTCGAGATGGCGTTATATGGGTGGGAGTCGGGTGTTCGAGATGACGCCAGATGGGTGGAAGGCGGATGTTCGAGATGGCGCCAGATGGGTGGAAGGCGGATGTTCGAGATGGCGCCAGATGGGTGGAAGTCGGGTGTTCGAGATGGCGCCAGATGGGTGGAAGTCGGGTGTTCGAGATGGCGCCAGATGGTAGGAAGTCGGGTGTTCGAGATTGCGCCAGATGGGTGGAAGGAGGATGTTCGAGATGGCGCCAGATGGGTGGAAGTCGGGTGTTCGAGATGGCGTTAGATGGGTGGGAGTCGGGTGTTCGAGATGACGCTAGATGGTTGGCAGGCGGATGTTCGAGATGGCGCCAGATGGGTGGAAGTCGGGTTTTCGAGATGGCGTGAAATGGGTGAAAGTTGGATGTTCGAGATGACGCTAGATGGGTGGAAGTCGGGTGTTCGAGATGGCGCTAGATGGGTGGGAGTCGGTGTTTGAGATAGCGATAGTTGGGTGGAAGTAGGGTGTTCGACAATGCGCCAGATGGGTCGAAGTCGGTTGTTCGAGATGGGTGACAGTTTGGTGTTCAAGATGCCGCTTGATTGACATGATTATCAAACACATTTTACCCAGACACACATGAACATCAAGCCAGGTTATTCAAAGACACATGTTCTACACAGCTACAGCTCGTTGCAATTAACGAAATGCACATAATGCAAGTAATATGCAAAACATCATTAAAGATGATCACAGTCGACTTCTAACAGGCCTGAAGTATGGTAGAAATCCTTTGATGGGTGATGTGGCTTGACTGAAAAACGGTGTATGTGTTAACTAAAATAATGACAGATTCCCTGTCTCTAAAGATGCATCACACTGCAATATTTTTTATACAAATGGTTCGTTAATCTGTAAATTGAATCCTTTTTTTCCAAGGTTGGCTTCAACGAGCGAGAGTCTGCCGAGCTGTAGATGGTTGATTTTGATGAAGAGGTTCCCGGGGGAACTTGGATTTGCGGGAAGAGAGGGAGAGAGGTGCCGGTGCCCTTCAGATCCTCAGACCACCCCTAGATCAAGACGGCAAGAGGGCATCGTTGTCTTCCGGATACACCCCGCCTCTGTAACGCTACATCCCCAATCTATTACTGTCACAACATTGCCGACGAGGAGGGACTCCGGGGTAAGACATTGCGTGATCACAGCTTGACTAACCATCAGTAACGGGATTACTAAGGCTCAGAGTGATCATGAAGCCCTTGGGAGCCTCCGGACTCACCCTCCTACCAAGTGATCAAATTTAGGAAATATGTCGAGTGTAAATGTTTACTATACTGCCTTTTTTATCATCCGATGGAAGAAAGAAATGCTACATTTGGCTCAGAACTGATGTGATCTGTGTGCACAGTTGTTTTTCCCTTTGTGATCGTAATCGATGATGTTGAAAATGCCGCATCTACCTATCCCCGAGGTCGTATCCTGGACCCTCGCGAATGTCGTGGAGTCACATCCTCATCGCTAGGTGGACAAAATGTGGCGCCACGACACATAGGCCTATGTGTTGGCAGCCATACTATGTATCCGGCAACTACACTGGTGAGGGAATATCTAGCACGACGGCATTGACAATAACAATAGTATTGAAATAAACATCCATTACATATGTTCTTGATAGTGGCTATTAACAAGCAGCATGAGTTGTATGATCCCCAGGGAGCTGAGAAACTCGAGTGCACACTGATCCATTCACCGGGGTAATAATGTAGCGCTTTGAGCAAGCTTAAGGGTGTGGATTTTGCACATGTGCTCAGTATTATCACTTTCTAATTTAACTCTCTCTTTTCTTTTTCTTTTTTTTTATTATTATCATCATTATGATAATGATTATCATTATCATCATCATTGTTATTATTATTGTTGTTGTTGTTGTAATTTTTACAGCTTAAAATAAATATATGCAGCAAAGAGGGTTTGAGTCATCCTGGCACAGTCAGGCTGGTTAGGCTCATCATCAGCTCAGGGCCCTAGCCCCCTCTACACGCAGTCCAGACAGCGAATGGAACTTCTCCCAGGACGCGCTGCCTAGTCAAACCCACCCAGAACTTTTCGGAGAATGTGAAGACTCCCCAACACTGTAGCCTTCTGCATTACCCAGATTGTCAGAAGGGCCGTATTCCTGGTAAGCAAACCCGGGTACTCCGCAATGTCAGTCAACAAATTGGGAGGTACCTAAGGCACCGAGAACAATGGGGAGTCGGACAACTTGGTACTTGGGATGCAAGCGTGACATTTCGAAAGCGAGGTCCGCATATTTGCCATCTTTTTCCTCAATCTTGTCAATCACATTAGTGTCAAAGGGGGACAGAAAACTCAATGATATGAATGATTTTATTGGATTTATCAAAAAGGACAATATCAGGTTTGTTGGCCAGGATACGTCTAAGGCTGTAAATGGGCCTATTCCAAAGAATTTTATGTTTATAATTTTCCATGACGCCCTCTACATAATCCGGGTCGTACCATTGAGGGAAGAGCGAGGGTGGTGGGATCTATTGTCTGACATGATTCTTCGTGTGAGGATGTCAAACCCTGAATTTCTTGTTTCGTCCAATCAACAACACCAAAAGAATACGAAAGTACGGTCACAGCATAAGTATTTGTGGCTTTGACTTTATTGAGAGCATTCAGCTCTGAACTCTGATTTTCTTTAGTCTACATTTGTACTCTGCCCGAAGTTTGTCCTTGATATGGGCATTCTGGAGTTCGTCCCTAATCTGCATCCCTAAGTACGTATAGGCCTGACCTTCCACAAGATGGTCAATTACTCCTCCTCCAAGTACATCCCTCTTCTACCTTGCCACGTTTCAAATGAAGAATGTTGCATTAAAGACTTGAGTAAAACAAGTAGTCGCCCGGGGAAGTCAATACATTCTAGTGACCTCAAAATCCATTCGTGAGGTACAGAATCATAAGCATTTCTGTAGTCCATCCAACACATTGAGAGGTTACGGTTGTAAGTTTTAGCCTCTTCAAGGATCATTTCTGAACTAGTAGTTGATCCTTACAACCCCAACATCCTTTTCGGGCTTCTTTCTGCTCGATGTAAATAATGTCATTGGATGCGCGGTATGATGACACATAGACATCCTGTAAATATTTTGTATTGTGTATTGAGACAAGTAATAGGGCGGAAGTTTTTGGGATCAGTCAAATCATCTTTCTTTAGAAGTATTGTTCGACCCTTGCACAACCAAGGCGGAACATCCCCTGTATCCACAAGAGAATTAAAACAGTGAAGTAATGGTGTTTTGACACAAGGAAACAGATTCCAAAACCTGTTTCGAATACTATCAGGTCCTTGCGCCAATTTGGGATTATGCTTTTTTTAAATACATTTTTTCAGGCAATCAGGCGTAATGAAAGACAACAATGGTGATTTTATTTTTTCGTGTACACAATCATTATATTCCTCTACCCATGGTCCCTCGAGGTTACAGATGCCGGGCATAGACCACAACTGTTTCCACAACCTTTCACTGGAATCCATGGTGGGTCTTTCCTCATCACTGCCATTGGATGCATTTAGATGCCTGTAAAATTGTTTTCATTGGAATTAAACAATTTTTTTTGTCTGATGAAATTATTTTTCTTGTCCCACTTTCTTTTTCTTGCCCAAACCTTCAATTTTGCTTTCAGAGAATCTAGAATTTGATCAAGAATTTTCTCTTTTGTTGTCTTGTATTTTGTTTTTAAGTTTTTCCAAATTGATTTTTGCCGTTTTGACATTGATTGCCCTGAGGAACGTAATTTTTAGTTCTATATTATTATTATTATTATTATTATTATTATTATTATTATTATTATTACCTGCATAAAATGTCACAGATTGGCCACAAAAAAAAACATGCATAGGAACAGTGGAGGACGCTGTTTTTAAGTTTGTTATCACTTTAGAGTGCAACAGCTTGGTTGAAACCTATTCACGTTCTGCAATAATATTACAATCAGTGCTAACGTATACATCAATGTCTTTTATATCATACTCTTATTATCTGGCCCGGTCGACCAGCTGGAGCAATGTAAAGATACATATTGAAAACACATTCAAGTGAAACTGTAATATGAATACAACAATTAGCGTTGCGGGCCGCCACCTTCTGCAAAGGAACATTAAACTATCTTTACAGATCATGTACATGACAACATCGTATGTTATCACAGCAGTAGATTAAAAAGTAATAAAATGACTCTTCCAAAAACATTTAATTGCTAATTATGTATTGAGTGTGATTCCGCTGGAGCCTGTGAACTGTTAAATCTCGTTTGATCTAAATCCTTTGAATCGAAGAATAAAAAACCGTTATCAAAGATGACGACTGCAGCGAGCGAGGTGAGATTTAATCTGTATATGAGTACAATATGGCACATGAGCGGAAAGGCGGTTGTAGCGGGGAGGACGGGCCGTCTCCGCCATTAACCCTCATGTTGACGTAATGCGACCCATCAAGCGAACACGGAACAGCCATGTTTGGCACGACACAAATCACACCGTCATCCGCAATTGGAAAATGTGATCCGCCGTCACGTGCGTGACGTCACAAGCCATGTGGTCACGCGTCACGCGGGTAGATCTGCAAGTGTTTCACCTGTAAAGGTAGTGATCAACGTTCGCCAGGAGCACTGCGCGAGCTGAATGAACGACTGCCCTTTACAAGCGCACTAGTCGTTATCTGATTTTGAATTTATTTGCTGTACAAAATGAGTCTTTTGTCTATCATATTCATTGGATTAGCATAGGTTCCTGTAATCAGTTCCTGCGGAGGGTTGTGTCCCGCCGAACGGCGTCAGAACGCGCCTTTTTACCGGTAATAATGAGGAACGAATCCTCTAGGAACAGCGGAGTCGCGTGGCAGGTAGAGTACACCATGTTTGATGGCGTGTCGCGGGTGTGGCGCGCTGGGCCCAGGTTGGGTTGAGGGTTGCCCTCCGTCCTGGCTCTATGATATGGATCTGGCTGCAACAAAGCCGTGTTGGGTTGGCGGGGGAGATGGAAGAGTGAGAAAGGTGAAACCCGCATCGCCACTTTTCGCTTATTAAACACTAACTGATGACAAACTTGATTACATCAGGGGACTTGAGAGGTTCAGCGGTGTAATTGTGACAGAAAAACAACTCAGTGAGCGAGTGAGCTAAACGGGTTGGTGGTTTCTCTATATTCTGGAAATGGGGTTGCGCATGTGGAAGATCACATTATGTGCGTGGTGGTATGACAGTCGAAGATCACATACTGCACGTGTTGGCATGAC